CGTTGGCTTCGACGCGTATTGCGAGTTAAATCAGTCAGGATCACGTGACTATTCTATTCTGGGCATAGGTTATCTCACTAGATGTAAAGTTTTAGAAAAAGAGGTTAACCCTGTTAGACAAGCTGACTGAGCATATACCATCGACTCCAGCTTATGAGCTTCTCATGCGGGTGCACAAACACGGCAGACGTCGACAAGAAACCAGTCTACAACATGGGTGAAGAAGGTAGAGGGATATCTGAAGAAATATTTCCTGAAGTGCTGATATCGTGGATATCGCAAACCAGAGACGTTTTGCTTATGCTAATTATCCAGGGTGATTATTTCGACAAATGGGCCTTTTTTAAAGTAAATGCCTCGATACCTCCCCAGAGCATCGGAATTCCATTTTGTTACTAGGCCTTATTTTAGTCTCAGCTTGCATTTCACAAAATTGCATTAGCTCTTCAGTAGAAAACGATATCAACGGTCCTTCAGATGTGTAAATAATTACGAAATTGTTGAAAACCTGGAACTCCGTCTTGCTTAATGTATGGAAACATTCGGATGCTGAAGCGGTGTTTATTTCTCAGTGCATGAAAATACCATGTAAATAGGATACATAGACAAAGTAATCATTGAAAGAAAGGAAAATGACGAATGGTTAGTTGAAACATATTGGAACAAAAGGATAAATATGGATATCAAACAAATCAAAAGAAAAAATAAATGAATGGCGGAGGTTAAAGTGAATAGTGGGCATAAAATTATTGAGGATGAGATTTCTAGTGAGTTTTATGGATCGTTTGATTGAGCGGCTCGATAGAGTTAGAACTTCGGTTATCTAAGAAAGTCTCGTTGTACATCCGCTATTACTTCTGCGATAATTCTGGCACATTTCAGGAATGCTTTCAGAAAGGAAGGCGAAACAGCTATTATTTTCTCAACTGACCTTCCTAATTCCCCAAGGCATCTGAGGCTGACGTGAAGCAAGTGCCTCGGCGAACTCTGTTCCAGACTAAGGTTATCTTCTGCAGAAGCCTCAGGCACTGGCACAAAATCAGGAACACTGGAGGTGCAGTCTGAAGCGCGCACCTTCACTACCTGGCAGGATAAACTCTCCCCGAAATTGTCTGATTTCCACTGAGTGAAAGATCTATAAGAATTAATTCGTTGACGGAGGCTAGACCACTCGCGAATATTAGATATGTAATGGTAATCTTACTAACATGTCCATACCTTTACTACTAATTCTTTTAGGTTACCAGTGTCATAGTTGAGAACTGCAGTATATACTTATATGCGGTATATGGCTAAATGATAGTGTATTAGCTATTAGTATTTGATTGTTTTGATCCTACTATGTCTATTTCGTATATTACTGTTGCGCGTTTAGGATAACAACGCCGTTTCGTGTTCAAGAAACTGCCCCTCCCACCTCAGATAATGAACTATTCCAGGTTTTTTACCGTTTCTGCATTGATTGAGCACTTGTACTGTCGGGAGATTTTCTTAACACTGAAGCAATAGGGTTTTAAAAATCGAAATAGACACTTTTTCATATACGGATTAGACTCATAAATGAATCCTCCGAACTAAGGCCAAAATTTTATGTGCGAAACTACATCATCAAAACGTATCATAAGAGACCAGGTTTTCTATTCTACTTTGAGCTTATCAGCTACTTGAGTGTCGTGGCGGCATCTTAGTTTACAAAATGGCTGTAAATTCAAACCCCAACAAGATGTTTCCTCCCCAAATTTTTAATGGAACCATTCCCTGGGAGCGAAAACCAGATGGGTTAAATATGTTCTTGGTGGAATCAGTCATTTGTATTTTAAAACTGTGACCCGAACTGATCGCAGTGTCTTGGCGGTGTATCAAAATGCAGTAATTTCTCTATTTTAATTAAAATATCACAACAATTATAACAGTAAAGGCAAAGAACACAGCCGGTGAATGTCTGGTTTAGGCGATGTCTGAAGGTTTTTTATGTAATGGCATTTTATCATTGTTTGCCACTGGAATGTGTTCTTCGGTACTTTATCATTTCTGTTTATCGTCTTCTGCTCCACGCTATTTGTCCTTGTAAGTAATTAAAATCTACTTGTCATGAAAGAGTGTATGGTAAATTTTTGGAAAAGTTTATAGTAATCGATGGTAAACCGTCAATTGTGCATAGGCTGAGTAAATATTTGGTTTTTAGGCTTTAGTGGATTACGATTTTGACGACTCTGATGAGGAAGACGAGATCGGTCTGAACGAATCAACGGAAAAGGTTTCACTCGACAGTCAGGAGCAGCCGCAACCCCTGCCGCCTGAAGTATCTTTGGAAAGTCCTCGAAAGCGACTTTGCTTGGAGGGAAACACTTCATAGCACTTTTATTTGTATGCTGTATAAACTTGTTTTAGAAATGTGCTGCTGGCAGCCCGTAAACCGTAATAAACGTTTTTTTGTATTGGCGATTTCATTCTTTTTCAAAATTTTGGCCTTCGCGATAATTTTTCAACGGTTTCTGTCGCACACTTGTTTTTTGCGCAATTTGTTGGTTGAGTTTTGTTTACCTTTATGGACTATGTCGCATATTCAAACAGTTTACCGAAGCTAACTGATTCTGACTGATCCTTCTTTGTGATTAATGATTATCAGTATTGCCTCGTCTCGATGACCACGCTCGTCTTTTTCGTGCCGTTCATCACCACTAGTTTCCATATCTTGTTGCTACTCGCCTCGTTTCGGCTGTGATGTTCCAGTTGGGAATTTGTACAGTCCTTTGGACACAGTATCCGTCATCCATCCGCTAGTCATATGATATGTTTGCTCATGGTCATTTTCTGTCTTTTGAAAAGGATACCTTGTCACGCATTTCCGTGCGTCATGTTATTTCATCATTTCACAACTCGTCCCTGATTGAAATTTCTAGCGCCCTTCTGTCCATAGCCGCTACCGTACTCTTCAGAGTTCTTTATCGTTTTCCGCCAATGTTCAGGCTTCGTAGCCGTGTTGAGCTGTTGGCAGTACTGTGCTTTCATGCAATGTTCTTCTAACTGAAATTGATGGTTTTTTGTTTTGAAGAGTTTTAGCCCTTTTCTGTGTATCTTCGCGCTACACAGCGCCTCACAGCAGTATGAGCCATAATCATACCTTTGGCTTCAGACGCTACGACATCTGTAGGCAACATAGCCAACTGCAGAAATTAACCAGAACCACCATAAAGAAGGCTCGTGAGAGACGAACCGAAACTTCGGTACAGGTCAGTCACCTAATTGACAGACTTATTCGTTTGCATTGTGTATTAATAAATCGTTTTTATGCATTTTTTAATATGAACTCTACCTCACGAGCAAATTATTCAGTCGTAAATATAGGATCGGCTTAAACAGCTCCATTATCGTTTTGTTTTTGCTAGATATTAACTTCATTATCTGGTGACCATTTCGCCTAGTCACAAATGGTCATATTTATATTTTTTATGTTAATTTAAATAACTGCCGTGGATTATTTCAAACACCAGTTTGTCAGCAACATTAATAACTCAGCTTCTGTAAAAAGAAGCTGATAAAGTTGTTTGATAAAACGTTTTCAACGACGAAAACTAGGGGCGCAATCAAAGCATTCACACTTGAGAGCCGTCATTAAAAACATCTCCTTTGACACGTTTCTGCTGCAGACGATATGAAAGGAAACCTGAAACGAAACGAAGACGTTTAGAAGTCTGAAACTTTTAGAAGTTTTGCATTTTGTCATCGTTGATAATTTTTAGTGCATCTTTCGAACCTTATGTAAATATTAAAGTGTTGTGAGGTGTAACAGATATGATTATATGAAAAAGTACATGCTTGTGCTGATGCTCGTAGACTAATTATTCGTTAAAAATTTACAACTATTTTGTTCTGAAGTTGAATGCCTGAAGCTGATCTTCCGCATAATGCAAAAATATCAGCGATAAATTTGATCAGCGATAAATTTACAAGAATGCAACTGCTAGGGCGAAGCTACACGAAATCACAAACAAGTTCAAAATGGAATAGACTATATGATAGAAAAAATCAATTTCACAGCATCCATAGGAGAGGCTTCGAAAACAATCTGTTAAAAATATCAGGGGTTAAAGATAAATGATCTCTTCTCAAGTCACTTGTGGTTTGGGAACGATATTCTAATCCTCTCTAACTCTTTGGAAGAAATTCAAAGAGGAAATGAAGAGTTTTCGGAGCAGAACGAAAGTAGGACCGAATACAGGTCACTACCAGAATACAAGTCATTTTTAAATAATACAGGAGTGGAGTAAACATTAAATTACCATCTTTGCCTGTTGGAATCAATGCAGTTAGACTTGAAAAGGTCTAAGACTAAGAACCACTTATTGCGGCTATGGAAAACAGATTACGTGAAATCAACCGAAGAATAAAAATGGCATAGATTACTTTTGGAAGCCTAAAATTGTCTTTAATCACTGTGTGCTGATGTATGGAAGAGAAATGGTCTCTAAGCATGGAAATTGTTCATTAACTTCAGATTGTGCAGCGCGACATGGAAAACATGTTTGGAATAACAAGAAAAGACAAATAATGAATAGGTAAGAGCACAGACAAGAATTGTGGCAATTGGGCAGGACATGTAGCAACAAAAACCGAACTAGAGGTGTTAAACTGGGTTCCAAAGGAGAATAAGTAACACAAGGATGACCAGCAGATCGGTGGCAGGATGAGATGAAATGGTTCGATGGTTCAAGATGAGCAAGAATCACAGAAAATAGTGGTTCCTGACGTGTTATTATACCTTATGACATGTAACGCTCTGTT